GGGACGGTGGAGGGGAATCGGGGACGGTGGAGGGGAATCGGGGACGGTGGAGGGGAATCGGGGACGGTTGAGGGGAATGTGCACGATATAAACAAGCTCTGCCCTCCTATAACCCCTGAACAGCCCTGATATCAGCGGAAGGCCTTATCTGTCACCTACTCATTAGGAGCTGATTACTTCACTACAGAGGGACAAAGTCCGGGGCAGTATATGACATTTCTGTGGAATTGCACTGGCTGCACCTGAGACTCTCGTAGTACCCCGAGGACTGCACAGGTGGATTTGGCCCTTTAGATGTGCAGCTTTTACAACTGTGTCCCCTGACGTGAGTAGGCCACGGGGCAACAGAGAGACACTGATGCAGTGACCAAAACATCTAGAAGTCGGGAGGGATGAGTGTTTCCTGAGCAGACCTCCCATTCCAGGTAGCTGTGGTCTTCTGCGTCTCTGTACTGTGGAAGCTGTGGCCCCCGAAAAAAGGAAAGCAGAGGGCAAAGGACAAGCCCCCAGTATTGCCTACGGGCCCCCGGAAGCTGATCCCCATTACTGACTTACCATGCCTTGTTCTGTACTGTGTCTCTGTCTGTAGGCGGCCCTCTTGGTAGAGACGGGATTTTGCTTCATCATGTCAAAGCTTCCCCTCTGATGACTGGAGATTTGATGACTGGCGGGGTAATGATAGAAGTAGAGGAAACACAGATCCACAGAACGGCTGAAGCAGGAGCAGGGAGGTCCTTGCACTGCAGCTCCTCAGGTACAACTTCTTCTCCAGCAAGGGGAACAGTGAGCAGCCCAGTAGTGACATGGCAAAATCTGATTACAAATCTGCTGAGACCGGCAGTCAGAGGCAGCAGTGCCCTGAAGTGCTCTGATGTCAAGAGTGCTTAGGCGCAGGAAGTGCTCTGATGTCAGGAGTGCTTAGGCGCAGGGGTAAGTGTAAGAGAATGAGGTCAAGTGGTGTAAGTATGATGCTGCTGACAATCACAATTCCAACCCCAGATGAGATTTTTATATCAGATCACATAGACATTGAGTCCAATCTAGGGGGGGGGGGGGGGGGGGGAAACAAGTCAGATGCTTTGGACTCTTTCACCTTTTGGTTTGGCGCTCTTTATTTCCTAACTTTGAATATATGATGTGACCCCGTGCTCAGCTGGGGGGCTACATTTTGCCTTATGAGAAGTCAGAGGGCACATTTCTTTGTTGTTGTTCCTGAACGAAATGTCTAAGTTGTTAAAATTGAAATTCATCTTGTAATAGTTTTAAAGAAGAACTACGAGGTCAGGGCTTTTCCCCATAGTTCTCCTTCGGGTAACGGGAGGACACAAACTAGCGTCCTCCCGTCATCCTAAGCTCAGTATATAGGGAGCTACAGCTCGCGGTATACTGAGACGCCGCAGCCGGGACGGATCCAAACAATTCTGTCTGGATCCGCCCAGCTACGTGAGTGACAGCCGGCTCTGCCTCTGTACCCGCCCCCTCCCCCGTCCGTTTCCGCCAGTCAGCGCTGGAGGATCGGAGAGCGGGGGGAGGGGGGGGAATGCAGGGAGCCGTGAGTGACAGTCGCGGCTCTCTGCAGGGACATGATGAAGAAGTGAGCGAGCGCCGGTATGTGTTCGCTCACTTCCCATCTATAGAGCCGACCTGTGACAGTCTCATTGTCACAGGTCGGCTCGAACTATGAGGAGGAGTGAAAATCAGTCACCTCATAGTTCTCCTTTAAAGTACAACAGCAGCCAAACCTTTGGGAGGACTAGAGAGTATGTCAGGAAAGCAGACAGAAACCTAAAGTGCAGATGTAAAAAATAAAAGAAGTTTATTGAAACAACAATAAACATAAATGGCAAAAAAACAATGGAGAAAGTCCAGGACGTAGTCAGTGCCAAGCCAGAGGTCAGAAACCAAAGGGGGTCAGGGAAACACTGAGAGCGGGGTGTCCTCTTCCTGCACCGCATCAGCTGGAGGCACCAAACATGGCGGAGAGGATGAGCAGACACAGGGCAGTCAGTGCGCGGGATCCCGCGAGGAACGCGGACGCGTCATCTACGTTTTTTTCATCCTCCGCGTCCTCCTCTACGCCGCCTGGCTTCCCGATATAGATGTACGGGTGATCCTGGAAAATATAAATGATATTCCAACACTGAGACGGAAAGAAGGACGAGGACAAAGTCGTCCGACCCCCAAAATATCACATAACTGCCCCAAATTCAGCTTTAGCTTCCTCCTATTGGCCCGAATCCACTTTAGTTTTCTCTTTACTTTGATCTCGTCTTGTGAGTGGACGTGTAAGCTGCGGAAAAATTCGGTTACTTTCGGTTCGGATATTTCAGGATTCGGATCCGAAATTCAATTCGGGTTTCGCATTCGGAGGAAGTCCGAATTTCGTTAGTTTCGGATGAGTTTAGGAATATTCGGCGCGTATACCACAGAGAACCAGATACAGATATTAATACTAAAGCTTAATCTCCCAGACCCAAATGGCATTCTGGGAGCCATATACATATATTACTAAAGCTGAGGCTCCTAGACCCAAATAGCATTCAGGAGCTCCCCAATGCAATTTGGAAATTCGGATCCTAAATGACATTCGGGTCTGGGAGTCTTAGCTTTAGTATTATATGTATATGGCTCCCAGACCCGAATGGCATTGGGGAGCTCCAGAATGCAATTCCGAAATTCGGATCCTAAATGCCATTCGGGTCTGGTAGCCATATACATGTGATACTAAAGCTGAGGCTCCCAGACCCGAATGGTATTCAGGGATGCGAATTTCCGAATTGCATTGGGGAGCTCCCTAATGCCATTTGGGTCTGGTCATCTTTAGTATTATACGTATATACTGTGTATGGCTCCCATGTTGCCGTAACGAAAATTCATTCGAAAGGCATTAAACCGAAAAACACATCTGATTGGCCAGAAAAGTCACATGTCCCATTCAGTTTTGTTTTTGAACTAAATTTACACGGGATCCGAAATATGGAAACAGAAATTTGGATTCGAACACATTCGGATTGGGAAATTTGGATGTGTCCGAATTTCAGAAAGTTGGTCCGAATTTTGCTTAACGAAACGAATGGCACGTGTCTAATTCTGAGATGAAATGTAAATATATCAGAAGAAAATACAAAATATGGAGTGTCGGAGATTCTGCATCTGAAGCCAAAACTTGTATATAGTTATGGATGGTGTGGGGGGGAAGGGTTGGACCCCCAGTCAGGTTTGTATGGCTGTCTGTATCCTGTCCTGTCCGCCATTTGTCTTGGTGATCATTGTCATTGGACAGAAAATGATGGGAAATCCCAAATTATACATGAATAGAGCAAACATTGACCAATGACAAGAGACTGGAGGGAAGGAGGGTGGGAGGAGGGTGGAAGGAAGGAGGCTCGGAGGAGGGTAGAAGGAGGTTCGGAGGAGGGTAGAAGGAGGTTCGGAGGAGGCTGGGAGGAGGGTAGGAGGTGGCGAGGAGGAGGGTAGAAGGAGGGTGGGAGGTGGCTCGGAGGAGGGTGAGAGGAGGCTCGGAGGAGGGTGGGAGGTGGCTCGGAGGAGAGTAGAAGGAGGGTGGGAGGAGGGTAGAAGGAGGGTGGGAGGAGGCTCGGGAGGAGGGTCTCAGGAGGGTGGGAGGAGGGTAGAAGGAGGGTGAGAGGAGGCTCGGAGGAGGCTAGGAGGAGGGTGGGAGGTGGCTCGGAGGAGAGTAGAAGGAGGGTGGGAGGAGGCTCGGGAGGAGGGTCTCAGGAGGGTGGGAGGAGGGTAGAAGGAGGGTGGGAGGAGAGTAGAAGGATGGTGGGAGGAGACTCGGGAGGAGGGTAGAAGGAGGGTGGGAGGAAGGTAGAAGGAGGGTGAGAGGAGGGTAGGAGGAGGGTAGGAGGAGGGTGGGAGGAGAGTAGAAGGATGGTGGGAGGAGACTCGGGAGGAGGGTAGAAGGAGGGTGGGAGGAAGGTAGAAGGAGGGTGAGAGGAGGGTAGGAGGAGGGTAGGAGGAGGGTATAAGGAGGGTGGGAGGAGGGTGGGAGGAGGGTAGAAGGAGGGTGAGAGGAGGCTCGGAGGAGGGTGGGAGGAGGGGGATTTCCTGTCATTTGCTGTTGAGTATCTGAAAATGTATATCGAAAAGTCAAAAAAGTTGGGGGGTTTTAGGCAGCCGACTGACAACTTGCACACCAAGAATTTTTGAAAAAGTATATTTTAATTGATTAAAAAGCAAATAGAATTGATAAAATTGACAACATGATTCCCCTGTAAGCTCACTCCACATTGATTAAATTCATTCATATATAGATGACAATCAGAATTCTTGTGCAATTGAACATGATTGAAAAAACATGATTGAAAAGTTCATAAATACATAACATGATTAATATAATGAAAGATGATGGAGGAGCTTGATTTTCTCAACGTTTCGCAGGGCTGCGGGGCTGTATTAGCTGCTGGGGGCGCGATATCGAGAGAGAGAGAGAGAGAGGAACGGTTACCTTACTACGCTGACCGTCAACGTTTTGTATCTACTCCCAATCTTTTGCGAGGAGTGGTACCCCCGCCATCTCCCGATTGGGTCTGCCTCTACTGGGGTCTGGGGCCTCTTTTCCTTCTCTCTCTCTTCTTTCTCCCCTCCTTGCCATTTGCTTTTACTCTTTCACGGTCTGAGCCAAGGGGAACGACTGGGACGCACACAGACTCCAAGG